CCTCAGGCCCCTGAGCAGCTAGGATTACAGGCACGCGCCACCACACCCAGCTAATTTTTGTATTTTTAGTAGAGACGGGGTTTCACCATGTTAGCCAGGATAGTCTCGATCTCTTGAACTTATGATCCACCTGGTTCAGCCTCCCAAAGTGCTGGGATTACAGGCGTGAGCCACTGCACCCAGCCAATAATTTTTTATCTAATCTTCTGGTTTGAACAAAGGTTCCTTGATGAGAATAAGGCGTGAACACTGTTTTTAAAACAGTGGTTCAATCTTCAGGGAGTAAGAACAAGGTTTGAAAGAAGTTAAAAAAAAAAAAAAAAAGCCAAAAACCTTTTATAAAATACCAAGGATTTCATTACAGATGTTTCGTTTCAGCAGAATGTATACAGTTGATGTGTACCTGACCACTGAAAAATAAAAGACATAGGCTGCATTCAAAAGACATACTAATATTATTAAATGACACTGAAAAGTGCTAATAGAATCAAGTTGCCAAATGCATGAAAATCAATGAAGCAGGAATTCAGCACATTAGTCAAGATTATTATGGATTTCATAAAGCTCTGACGCACTGGTTTCCAAATTATACTTTGCAAGTTGATAGATCACTACATTCATCAAGTCAGGAACATGGGTAGGATTTTTATAAACATAGCTTCCATTTCTTCCATTTCTACTGGCTATTTGTTATCATATTGGTCACGGTAGGTGACTACCTTGAAAATACAAAAAACTAGCCATAAATGTAAGCTGAGCAAGATACTGTGCTAATATTTATACCAAATTCATAACAAGGATAAGAATCACTTAATGTGTGTAACTTACTGTTGATATAACAGCATCATTTCAATATATCAAAGTGTATATGCATGTGTTCCATGGGTTACTCCTGAAACTTACTTGTCCCTCTCACCCTTCGATCCACCGTGGTAATCATCTTGGGACCTTAAAGCTACTTACTGTGCCATGGAGCATGTCTTTTGTCTTTAATTCAGCATTTCCCACAATATTTTTCATGGAACAACAGTCTTTTGGTTAATATTAATAGGTATAATACAACCAAGCAAATCAGGGAAAAGATGTGCCTATACTTTTCTGTAGATTCACAACACATATTCATATGTTAAAGGTTCACAAAACTGCTTACAATAATCACTTCAGCATGGAACATTTTAATCTATCATGTTTCCGTTAAATTCTGCCAGAGCAGTGTTCCATATAACACCAAAGGCCATGACAAAAATTCAACATGCATTAGTAATGGTCTACCGAAGGAGCACTGAATCAACGAATGTATCTTAAAAACCATAAGACACATTTTATGGGTTAAATTGTACCCTACCACTCCCATCTAAAAGTATGTTGAAGTCCTAATCCCCAGGACCTCACAATGTGATTTTATTTGGAGATAGGATCTTTGCAGAGGTAATCATGTTAAAATGAGGTCATTAGGATGGGCCCTAATCCAACAGGAATGATAACCTTACAAAAAGCAGAAACACAGACAAGGGAAGACAGATGTGTAGAGTGAAGACAATGTGAAAACACAAGGACAATGCCGTCTATAAACCAAGGAATACGTGAGGCTTCCAGAAACTAAGAGAGGAATGGAACAGATTCTCCTTCACAGCCCTCAGGACCCAACTCTGCTGACAACTTCATTTTGTACTTTTCTAGTCTCCACCACTTTGAGACAATAAATATCTGTTGTTCTAAGCCATCCGGTTTATGGAACTCTCTTATAGCAGCCCTCGGAAACTAATATAGACACATTATTAACTACTACTTTATACTCATATATACTTTAGTAATGCCAATAAGTATAATCATAGCATAAAAAGGGAGAGTATGGAATGAAGTCTTCAGTCTTCATTAAACGGGATATTTAGCTTTACCAGACTAAAGTCAATTACTCTGGGCTCCATTACTCTCTTTGGAATTGCTTTACTCTACAGTTTCTGTTTACCTACATTTTTTGCTAAATGTTCTTGATTATAGCACTTTTTACATTCAACTATCTTGCTCCTTTAAAATAAATAATCCTTTCCTACTAAATGATGTAGAGAAAAATATTTGCTCCCATTTTTTTCCTCATCTTGCAAATCTGTTAAAAGACATACATTTGAAATTCATGATTATCATCAACTGACTTAAAATATGAACATTTAAAAAACTATCAATAAGAAAAGAAATTTTTGGAAAAAAAGAACTTTACTCTGAAAATAAACTTGGGGCAACATCCCAGAAAGCTGTTGTCATGAAAAAGGAATGAGGAAATAAATTAGTATAATCCTTCTGGGACGTTTCCTGAAACAAGGAATTTAAGAAGTGGAAGGGAAGATAACAGATTTAAAAATATCTTTGAAATGTTCTACTTCCTGGCAAAAATAACGAACCGTCAAAGTCTTACAGATTTCTTGAGGTAAACAGGTAGAGATCTGCTACTACTGAATGGCACATGTGATGGTTAATTTTATGTGTCAACTTCACTGCCCAAATATTTGGTTAACTATATTTCTAGGTGTGTCCATGAGGACGTTTCTGGATGAGATTATTATTTTAATCAGTAGACTGAATAAAGTAGATTGCCCACCCCAATATGGATGGATGTCATTTAATCTGTTGAAAGTCTGAATAGAATAAAAGCTGAGTAAGAAAGATTCCTTTCTCTCTGCCTGCCTTTGAGCTGGGACATCAGTCTTCTCTTGCCTTCTGACTTGAACGTGAACTTACACCATCAGCCTTCCTGGTTCTATAGTCTTTGGGCTCAAACTGGAAGTATACCATCACCTCTCCTGGCTCTCTAGCTTGCCGACTGAAAATCTTTTTTTTTTTTTTTTAAATTTTAGATTCAGGGAGTACATGTGCAGGTTTGCTACAAGGGTATATTGCAGGATGCTGAGGTTTGGGCTTCTGTTGATCCCATCACCCAGATGGTGAACACAGTACCCAATAAGAAGGTTTATAGCCCTTGCTCCCCTCCTTTTTCAGTTCCTTAGTGTCTAGTGTTCCCATCTTTATGTCCATGTGTACTCAGGGTTTAGCCTCTACTTATAACTGAGAACATGTGATATTTAGTTTTCTGTTTCTACATTAGTTCACAGAGGACACTGGCCTCCAGCTGCACTCATGTTGCTGCAAAGGACACGAATTCATTCTTTCTTACGGCTGCATAGCATTCCCTGAGCAACTACAGATCTTATACTTCTGAGCCTCCATAATCATGTAAGCCAATTCCTTATAGGAAATCTCATATAAATGTAATTTACTATAAGGAATCATAAAAATATAGTAAATAATTGTTCTGTGTGCGTGTGTGCATGTGTATCCTATTGGTTCTGAAGAACCCACAAAACAAGTTTCCAGAATTATGCAAAAGAGCCAGGAGCAGTAGCTCACGCCTGTAATCCCAGCACTTTGGGAGGTTGAAGCAGGAGGTCAGGAGTTTGAGACCAGCCTGGTCAACATGGTGAAACTCCATCTCTGCTAAAACACAAAAATTAGCCGGGAGTGGTGGCGCACGCCTGTAATCCCAGGTACTAGGGGGGCTGAGGCAGAAGAATCGCTTGAACCTGGGAGGCAGAGGCTGCAGTGAGCTGAGATCATGCCACTGCACTCTAGCCTAGGCGACAGAGTAAGACTCTGTTTCAAGTAAAAAGCAGAAAAAAAAATTATGCAAAAGAAAGAAGGTAACAGACTGCCTCCTCAAAAATGCCCATAATATCCTGTGCTTAACCACACATTTACAAGTAACACAAGAGTCTAACTACTTACTTATCGTCTTAACTACAGAAAGGGTCTTGAAGGATAGTAATTCATCTAACAGTCTCCTGTTAGATAAATGACTAGCATGATGCTTAGCTAATTGCAATGCTCAGTAATTGCTATCGAGGAAACAAATGAATAAGAGAATAACTTATGTGTTTATCTAAGTTCCTTATAAATTTCAAGTAGGTTAAATGCTAGCTGAGGTCATTTGGACATTTTATTTTTGGTAGAAACAGATTATAATTTTCATATTTTAGAACAGTTTAACTCTCAATGAATAAACATAAATTAAAACTTTAATGGAAAGGCAAACTAAAATTATTATTTATAGCTTATTGTTAAGTATACCTATAAACCCTATTTTGTTTTAGAACACACATAATCTAAACTGAACATTTTTCTCCTTAAGAGTAATCTATAACATATGACAAAGAATCTGAGCTTTACGTGTACTGCATTCTAATCGTGTGTAAAGCACTGGATTTACAGAATGTCATGAAACTATTTGAGAATTATATGATTAAACTTCAAATAGGGCACAGCTTCAGGTAACTGTGAGTGAAGAATGAAAGAGAAAAAAAATCCTCAATGTAGTCACACAAAATGGGTTCAATATGTATGAACAACTTGCATATTGAAAAAGAGATTTCACGAAGTATAAATTAGGAAGTATTAATATAAGCTCTCAAAGACAGGTCAATAACATATATGTTTCTTAAACATAGGTAGAGCACTCATTCAAATGTTACATGTTCTGAGACAAATTCAGCTGAAATGAAAAAATATATATATATTTCATGTTGACTAAATGTAATTTTTCTATAAAGGATAATTGTAAGTGATCTGAGCTAGGTTAATATGCTTTTAAACTGACTTTTATTTTCATATGTTTATCATATATAAAGAATAAGAAATTGTCTTTTCACTTGCTACAATTCTATTTTTTGCCTTTGATAAAGTGTAAGAAATTTATTCCCAATTTTAAGACAAACTATTACCAAATAACTTGAAAGCGGTAAATAAATATTTACTTTTCAAGTAGCAAATATTTTATATTGTTTTATAATCCTCAGAAATCTTCATAACAAGATGAACTGATTATACACTTATATAGGCAATTAAATTCAGGAGAAAGAAAAATGACAACTAGTAATCTGTGAACTGTATGTTTACTCTGGTATATTTTTATCTTTGCAAGGTTACTACTAAAGAAATGATTTAATGTTCACCTTTAGTTGTAGTGCCTTCTCTAAGTTTTCAATCTTTCTTTCAGCTTTTCTTAGCTTCCGTAGCTCTTCTGAGTCTGTGAAAGAGCTCTTTGGGGACAAAGACCTTGAACGTTTCACAGGTGGTTCCTCGAGAATAAAACAAGGACATGGTTGAACTAGTTGGAACACTGGATTATGAAAGACATGCAAAATTAAAGAACAAGTAATTTTGAATACTAATAATGAATTATAAAAAAAAAAAAAATCCTGTATGGAATACCAGAGAAATAACAAGCAGAATTACCACAGTGCTACCACTAAAGGTTTCTCTGTGACTCGTTAATGAGAATATTCATTTACATTTACATTGTTTCTTTCAGAATAATGATGTCCCATTAGGGAAGACTAAAGGGTTATAGACTCAGAAATGCAAGAAACCTCATTACAAAGGAGGGGATAGAGGCTGGTCTAATTGCTCTATAAGGGTCCAAGGTTACACTTGATAGGACAACCAGAAACAAGAGGGAAAGGATTTTTTTCCCTTTGAAATAGTTTAACACACTGTGAAGTTGAAGGAACAATATGCTTGAGGAATATAAATACAACAGACAGTAGATCTTATACCATAATGACCATATGGTCATTAACTATAATGTGGCTAACTAGAGACAAGAATATGTTTATATTATGTACAGCTTCATATACCAATCTGGAGAAAGAATATGTGAAAGCAACTATTAAGCTGGGCAACACAGTGTTCATCCTTGCTGCATGGCCTTACAAAAAGAAAGAAAATTTTGGTCAAAATACCCCTCTCTTTTTCTTGACTTTTATTAAAAGCAGACAAAAGTCAAAGTAGTACATTTTTAAATTTCAGCAGTCGAACAACCAACCAAATTAGGCCTGGTAATGCTGTATTTCAATGTTATGAATGTTTTCTTTCATTTAAATAAAGCTCAGTGCTTGTGAAACTACTTCAAAATGACAAGAAATGTATAATGTAGTTGTTTTAATAAATCTCATTTTCTGAAAATTACTAATAATTTTAGAGAGCATGAATAACAGTACCACAGAAACATGGTTCAAATTTTAAATACTTCCTTTATTAAGATAGTTTGTCCCACTCATAAGAAAAAATGGAAAGAAACAAAAACAATAATATCTTAACAACATGGTTTCCTATCATAAAAAATATTATTCCTCTATTGCTGAAGTAACAAGTGTGTGAAAAATATGCTAAAACTCTTACTTTGAGGAAAATGTTATTTCAATTTATCTAGAAATAACATATATACTACATGATATTTTAGAATTTTTATATTAGTCAACATTCTGTAGAATCTTTTACAGCATAACACAAATATGTAATAAATACTAAAAAAATTGAGACATTAATAAATGAGAAACATGCTATGTAAAATTTGCTATTTTTCTCTTACTGCTATCCCTTTAAATCTATAAAAATATATAACAAGTGCAGAAGTTAGTGTTAAAATTCATTTACTATTTTATTTTCCACAGAGACAGTATTTTAAACATCAAATCTGATTGAAAGACATATTAGATATATTTTTATTTTAATTCAAATTAGAAAAGTGAGTAAATACCATTTAAAAATAAATTTTTAATCAGATAGATTAATAGAGAGATGACGAATACTTACCATAGAGAGACGAGGAATACTTACCAAAGTTTTAATATAAGAATGTTAATTTACTGACAAAATTGATATAGTACTATTAGTATGTTTAATTAACTAATTTGGGAATATAATTCAGTCTTTAAAAAGGGAAAACTCCTTATTCCTAAAAGTTATTTTATCAATAGTTTGGTACATGATACTTTTTAAAAGCTTCCTGAAATATAAGCAGAGAACTAAATGCTGCCATTTGTTTTTTAACTTCATCTCCTGCCTTTCCAGCCTCATCCTGGCAAGTTCACAAAATGACAAAACGTCCCTACCTTATGTTTTCCTTCAGCACTTGTCATGATGCTCTTTTCTGAGAAAACCTTGCTGGGAGATATGTTTTCTGACAGTTTTTCATTTGCTATCTTTAGTTTCTCCTGTAAATACTCAATTTCAGACTTCTGTGAAACCATTAATGTTTCTAAGCTTGATAAGGATGGGCGATAAGGTACCTATTTTAAAAAGTATACTTGTAAATATATATGTATGTTTGTATCTTACATTATTTATAAATATAGCAAATAGTTATATGTAACACTATATTATAGAAATTATAAATACTCAGAGAAGGAAATTTCATTTTAATAATAAACTAGCATGAGTTGAACTTTTTCATTCTGTAGAATAGAATTTTTCAGTAAAATAACCAAGAGTCTATATACAAGTATTTTCATAAATAATGCTGTCATATAGATTTCAAGAGAAAAAATTTAAAACATGGCTGCATGACACACACCACTCATCTATAAATGAGTCATTTCAAATTTCTGATTATACACATATGTATTCCCTCACAAAATATTCAATCCACCATCAGGTCATCAAGAATCATACAATACCACAGAATATAAACCTGGGAAAAGGAAACCAACAGCATTATAAGTACAATTAGCTTTTACTGTCTCCTAATTTAATAACAGCTCCTCAAAAAACCCTGACAGTTTTAAGTCAACATAGTTTACACCATTCTCCTTTGAAATTTATTCATGTTTCAGATAAACTGCTAATGGTAAGCTCCACATTTTAACAACAGACGTCACAGGAAAACTAATCTTGTAGGAAACCTGTTCATAAAAACCAGAATTCTGCAAAATTTGACTACCATCTCCACTGAATGTATTTGAGGCCATTAAAATCCATGCAAATACGCTATTTCAAATTAACGAGTACATTTACAAAAACAGAAACACAGAATCACATGAAAACAGTTTTTGTTGACTTACAGGCAAAACAAATGTCAAATCTTATGATTCTAACATTAGTAATAAGGATCTAGTAACCCTGAAAATATTAGAACTTGAACTGATGAAGGGCCCCATCCTTCCTAAATGATATTCCTAAGTACTATGAGAAAAATATATACGGTTAACTGTTTTGAACCAACAATGGAAAACATCATCCTTTTCCAACTGTGCCTGCCTTTTTCTTTTTTGAGAGGATAGGCAAAATTTTCCTAATTCTAACCTGCAATTTTTATGACAGGGGCCACATTTGATTTATACTATTACACTTTTCTCATATTTAAATCACCTCATTTGTTTCCAACCTTTATTCTACCATATGACTCTCTTCCTCAAAGTATTATTTACATTGTACTGTTACCATACTTACAATATATTACTTACTTCGTTATCTTGCTTTGAACATCACATTAAACTATTTTAAGCATTTCTCTTCCAGTAAGTCTAAATGATTTTGCCCTATTCTTTTATCCCCATTTTAATCAATGTACAACTTTTTTTATTTTTTCTCCTGTTTTATAATCAAACTTCTGATGTTTAGAAATATTTTCTTTGATTGGGCTGCCAACCTAAACACGTTCAAAGACTACCTGCTCTTGTCTAGGTTTCCTTTAATAAAATTATAAATGATATATTAACACCCTAACACAAAATAAATTTTAATAATTTGTTTAAGGTCAAACAAAAACTTAGAATAAAACAAGAAAAACATAATTTTAGTTTATTGGTATATCCAATAAACAAACCTGTGTTCTTCAATAAATGAACTTCCTAAGTCATCAGTGGATTATAATGCTATAGCTAGGAATATTAAAATGTTAATATTCAGTCAAGAAGCTACGATGAATAACTCAAATATTCAAGAAGACATTAACAATGTTCCAACAGTGGATACTGTCACTATAATAATAATGGATTCATTTCTAATAATATTTCTACTGATATTATAGTAATGATATTAATATTTTTGATAACAATAAAGGATATTTAGGCAGCATTCCTTCAAAATTCCTCAATAAACAATCAGAGAACTTCAAAATTAAAATACTATTAAAGTAGTGAATAGAAACCAGGAAGATAATGCAGATAAATAAATATGTGTCTGGTGTGTTTTAAAATAAAAGCTTTAACATTTATGCAACAGAGGCATTTTGCATACATACTAACCATGTAAATATGTCTTTTCCCTCCACAAAGTAACTTATTCATGTTCCCGTTTTCTTTAAGTGTGGTTTTCTCTCTTGCCTTTTATCACTTTTGCTAGAGACATGTTTACAAGGTTTTACATTTCTCCTAATAAAACAATTTTTTTTAAGTATTAAATATGAGCAAAATGAAGTGTCAACACTCAGCCTCACTGCTGAGTAGTAAGGAGGGAATTTAGGGCAGTTGCTGCTCAACTCCAGCTAATTGTTTTCAGGGAAGAATGTGCCCCACTGTTGCTAGATATACTGATTTTTCAAGAAAAGCAAAGAATTAGGATTTCTAAGGAGATTGTACATATTTTCAAATGCTGGTTGGACCCAGTTTATGGGTTACTTTGAGAACGTGGTAGTGGAAGTATAATCTGCTGTCAATTTTCCAGAGAAATTTTGAAAGACGTATCAAAGCCCATAAAAATGTACCAAACCTTTAATTTACTTCTAATTACACTGAAAGCTAACATGAAAAGATATCTATGATAAATTGAGAAAAGTAAGGTACAAAAGGGTATATTATACTATATAGAAATAGATTTCACCAAACACGCATAAGGTGAAAAAACAACCCTGAAATGTTACAGTGTGATTTCTAAGTAGAGGGACTGTAACGTGAATTATTTTCTTTGTACTTCCCTGAATTTCCTTAAAGATTTTACAATGGACATGTAACTAAATGCTTTTTTTGTTTTGTTTTGTTTTGTTTTGAGATGGAGTTTCACTCATGTTGCCCAGGCTGGAGTGCAATGGTGCAATCTTGGCTCACTGCAACCTCTGCCTCCTGAATTCAAGCAATTCTCCTGCCTCAGCTTCCTGAGTAGCTGGGATTACAGGCATCTGCCACCATGCAGAGAAGGGGTTTCACCATGTAGAGAAGGGGTTTCACCATGTTGGTCAGGCTGGTCTCGAACTCCTGACCTCAGGTGATCCGCCCGCCTTGGCCTCCCAAAGTGCTGGGATTACAGGCATGAGCCACTGCACCCGGCCTAAATGCTTTTCAAAATAGAAATATTTATTTTTTTGCAAATAAAATGACTGAAAGTTCAATGCAAAAATTTCAGTATAGGTAGGGGAAATATAAATAAAAGTCTCTTCACAATCTCATCCCTCAAAGTTCCTACTAGTAAGTTTGTAATATATCTCCCAGACTTTTAAAAAAAAAAAAAAAAAAGGAAACAGCTGGGCACGGTGGCTCACGCCTGTAATCCCAACACTCTGGGAGGCTGAGATGAGCGGATCACGAGGTCAGGAGATCGAGACCATCCTGGCTAACACGGTGAAAACCCGTCTCACTGTGGTGGGTGCCTGTAGTTCCAGTTACTAGGGAGGCTGAGGCAGGAGAATGGTGTGAACTCGGGAGGTGGAGCTTGCAGTGAGCCGAGATCGCGCCACTGCACTCCAGCCTGGGTAACAGAGTGAGACTCCATCTCAAAAAAAAAAAAAAAAAAAGGTAACTACTATATTTTTGTCATTTAACATACTTTTTAAAAATTAATAGACTTTATTTTTTACAACAGTTTTTTTATGTACAGAAAAACTGAGCAGATATTTTGCAGAGTTCTCCCTGACCTCCTACCCCCACCCACACAGTTTCCCTATTATTAACATATTAAATTAGTATGGTATATTTGTTACAATTACTGAACAAATATTCATACATTATTAGTAACTGAAGGACATAGTCTGTTCACATTTCCTTGGTTTTTTCCTAATGTCCTTTTTCTGTTTCACGATCCCATCTAGGACACATTACATTTAGTTGCTATATCTCCTAGAGCTCCTTTTGGCTGCTTTCTCAGACTTTTCTTGTCTTTCATGACCTTGACAGTTTTCTGTAGGATGCCCCTCCTTTGGGATTTGTCTGATGTTTTTCTCATGATTAGACTGGGGTTATGAGTTTTGAGAAGGAAGATCATAGAGGTAAAGTGCCATTTTCATCACATCATATCAAGGGTATATGCTATCAACATGATTTATGACTGTTGATATTCAGTTTGATCACCTGGCTGAAGTAGAGTTTTGTCAGATTACTCCACTTGTAAAGCTACCCTTTTGTCCCTAGCCATACTGTACTTTTTAACTTGCGTTTTAAAAACTTAATAATCTCAAACATATACATATATAACTATTATATGTATTATAATAAAATATATGAGTATACACGTATATCCTCACAGATCTCCATATATCCTTACATATCTTTAACCTTTTTAAGAGCTGCTTTACATGCATAGCAAAATCAAGTTACTCAATCCCCTCTCTGTGGAAGTTCATTCTACTACCCTTAAAATCTCAGAATCTTTGAAAAGTTAACTTTCCTTCCTAACAATTATTCACATTTTATAAATAAATTTTTTCTCTAATATTGAAAATATTTTGCTCCCTTTTAGTTTACAGTCTTGGAATACAATGGTGTGGTGCTATACCATGATTAATCTGCTGAAAAATGATTAGTGGACTGACTACATGGCTAAAGGCTCCCAGGTGGAAATAATCTTTTTAAATTGCCATTGTTAATACATAACTTTATTTTTCACAACGATTCACAGAGCTAATTTTAATTGAAAAGTTCTGTAGAAGATATATATTAAATAGAAGAGAAGGCATGGGGGAAGGGCCTTTAGGTGTTATACAAATTACTATTTTTATAATTATACAACTTAAATATATAGTCATGTTGCATTCAATCCAAGAAATATTGTAAGGCATTATTATTACAATGCGGGTTGACTGAATATTGGCTAATACATAGAAAATTGTTTCACAGCTATAATAATTAGAAAAATTGTAAGTTAAATTTTTTTGGCAAATTATAATTAAATATATTTTTTCCTACTATACTGCAATGGTGATAATAACTAGCATTTAGCAAAAAAGTATTTAGTTCCTACCTCTGGCTAAGAATTTTACATACATCATCTCGCTTGTTTTAAAAAATTTATGAATTCTAAACCTGTCAACACGTAACAAAGCCTATAGCAAAACAAAAACATTTTAAAAAGCATATGATAT